GGTCATGAAGAATTTGCTCCACTTCTTGGCTTCCCCTGCTCCATCTTTCATTTCTTTCACATCCTTTAGCTCCATTTTCTTTCTTCTTTGAAAAGAAAGGTTTCATGGTGTTTTGATACATCTGAAGAATATTCTTTTTTTCACTACAAGGAGTGTGGAATTTAAAATAAAAATCAATTTGCCCATGGGACTAAAGCTGTAGCCCAATTGCTTGTTTGTCATGGCAATGTACTTGTCCAGACACAAATAATTTCCGTTTAGGGCACCTGACTAGAGCCCTGGACACAGACAGGCTTATTCACTAAACTAAGATTTTTTGCAAATGAAAATCTTAATTCCAACATTTAGGCTAAATTATTCATGCTATCACAATAGTGAAGTTTGAGAATTTTTCTATAGTGGCCTATTCAAAGTTTAGTGAATATCCTTGTCAGGAATGCAACATTTTATATACATGTATGGGATTTCTGAGTGTATAATGCATATATACATGTTTATTAATGCATGTGTATTATGCTCATGTTTGTGTATATATTCTAAATATAATTTATAAAATTATGCTTATATTCAAACATATATATATATATATATATATATATATATAGTAAAATACACATTTGTATGCATTGTATGTATAAATGCATAATACTCTCAGAAATCACACACAGTAAAGCGGCACTGTCATGGCCGAATCCCGTAGTTTTTTTTAACCTCCCTCCCACCTCCACTACATCGAATTGACCCCCTAGTCACCCCCAAATGTCCCTAAGCCCCCCATATTACCTATTTTTTATTCTTTATTTTCTGCCCTGACCTATATTCAGGGCGCCGCCATCTTTGTGTGGGTAGAGGAAGTCCCTGTGCCCACACTATAGTCATCTGCCCACACTAGATAGCACTGAGATTCCCGCACATGCCCAGTGAAACACTTGGGCATGCGAACGGGAATTTCATCTATTCATTCATTCGTCAGAAAGATGAATGAATGAATAGAAAAATCAGATGAACAAACTAACACTGAGTATCAGTGTTCGTTTGTTCGTTCAGTTTATTACAAGGAGGTTGCTACCGGCATGCAGCTCCCTCCTTGAAATATGGGTCTTGACACCAATGGTGACCAGTTCTTCTCTTGGCCAGGTTGTTATTCCAGCTGGGTACCTGATGACTGGTAGGGCATATGTGTTGCTGGCTTAGATCTTGTTCTTGCCATTGAGCTGGGACTAGAGAACCTGTCTAACTCTCTCAGGGTACTTGGATGTTGCTATACTCCTTGCCTCTTCCTCATGTTTGCCATGTGTTTGTAGTACCCCCAGGTACTTGTACCTGTTCTCAACGCTTCTTGATGATCTGGCTGAAGGGGTTGAGGCAGAACAGCATTGGGGATAGTGTTATTGTCCTGGAATTGACTTCTAGAGTTGTTTTCCACTTGCCCATCGAGTTCTTAATGAATGCTCTTACTGTCTTGTTGACCTTGTATAGAGCCAAGAGCCAAATTTAATCTGTTTGGTCGTAGAATCCCGAGTGACTTCTTGGTCTATCAGTAGTTGGTGTTTTGATCTCATTCTGAGCATTACTCATGTAGTGACTTATATGTGCAGTATCTTGGAGGCTATGAAGCCTGACAGGACATTCTATGTTGTTTAGGCAGGTGATTGGTCAGTAGTTAGATGATGTTGTTCCCTTGCGAGGGTCCTTCATGACCAGTATTGCCTTGTGTTAGCACGTCAGGGTGGGATCTTGTTGCTAATAGCTGGTTCATTTATGCTAGGAGTTCATGCAGGATTGTTAATTTCTTAATCCTGCAGGTATGGATCATATCAGGTCCTGGGGCTGACCACCTTGTGGTTTATGTGGGCTACTCTGGTGATGTAGAATTATTAAAATCTTTATTAGAACCTGTATTGAATTATTGTACTAACTCCATTTTGTTCACCTTACATGACAGAATTTCCTGACAGTATTCAGTATAATGAATAAGAGATTGTATTTTCTCTCTCTAAGGACATAACTAGCCCCGGAGTTAGCGGATCTCCGTTGACTTGCAACATAGTATAATCCAAGGCCAGGAGAACAGTGACAAAATGAAATGTTCTATTCATAAAAGAACCTTGGAACAGACCACGAGACTGACATCACTAACTACGTAAAATGACGCCCAAGCCCCCCTTTCCACCGAGTAAGCCTCGTGCTAAAGAGCAATGGCGACGACATCCCATGATGGGAGGGTGCCTCACTAGTCACTCAAATCTCTGAGCCAATTAATAATATTAATGGGTGGACACTGACATAGCCACTTAACATTTAACCCAATTAATGATGTTTATTTGTTATTATCTGATATTCAATGATGATGTCATTTTGCATATAAAAAGGCCTGCGTGCCCACTTTTTAACTAGATGCTAATAAATTTCCTGAAGTGTTTTTAACCTGAACTGCATGTGTCAGTGTGAACTTACTTCTGCGTATACGCAATTTATTCATCTCAGATTTGGACAGGAACAGATAGACTTTTAAACATTTTTGTTTATTTCTAAATTAATCTACATCATCTGGCGTCCATCCAACGTGGGGCATCGGGCTATGGCCTCCGCCGGTAAGCCGTCCTAAGGAAGACGCTGTTGGACGGAGGAATCAGGGGGGAAGGAAGAGAGACTGATCACCTCTGAGTACACGGTAGAGACTTCTGCAGGAGCCACCGGTATGTTCCAGCCCCTTTGATTGACCCGTCCACGTGTCTGTGACTGCTTCCCGGGAGGGCATCAAAGACAGGTAATATCTTGCCCGGTGTCTTGTTACCCATTTGTTTACCTGCATTTAGTCTATCTGTTGCCTGGGTGTGCTAGTGGTATATGTTTTGTTCTTTCCCTCTTTAGAGATAAAGGGGGGTGGACCCGTGGGTGGTTGCCTGGGGGTCTTCTGTTGCCTGTTTTTACCCCTTTTTAGGAGTCACTTGGCCCAGACTGTTGGGAAAAAAGGGGGGGTGGACCTGTGGGGATTTTCCAAAGGGGTCCTGTTTTCCTGTTTACTTCTTTTAGGTACTGTCTAGCTAACAGTAGTAAGGAAAAAGAAGGGTTGGGGGATTCTGTGGAGGGGACTTGCCTCCTGGGGTTTCCCGGTTACGTCACTTTGATATTCTAGCTAGCCTCATTGTGTACGTTGCTCTGCTTGCAGAGGTTATGGTACCCTCCAGCTTCGAGCGCTGAGGCTGGTGGCATTCCAATTTATTTGTGGTGTGTGGATTCGGGCAGGCATTGTTGTCTCCATCACCACGGGGTAGTGTGACTTGTGGGTGGGTCCATAGGGAGCACTACGGGAGTGAGGATAGAGGTGGCCACACTTAGTGGACTGCTGTAACGAGGGAGGCATATGGATTTCGGGCCGGTGTTAGTCGTTATCCTTGGCCGCTGGTAGTGAAACTTACGAAAGTTGTTCTCCGAGCGGGGACACTACGAGATTGAGGGAGGTGGCTTGGTGGCCACAAGAGTAAAGGAAAGGGATTACTGTTGATGCATGCACTGTATTTCAATTGAAATGTTGTATTAAATGTTGTCTTAAGTGTGGAGTCATTCAAACTCCTGGGTCTGTCTCTACTTTCACTGTTTACTTTTCCTCTACTTCCTGTACTATTTACACTATCCACTCCTATTTCTCTTGAAAGAGAAGTGATTGGTCACACACTTCTCACCCCGCTCCAATCCGTGGTTACCATCGAGGGTACACGGATTCAGTGACTGGTCTACGTTTTGGGAAGACGCACTGGGAGGGACCCACCCTTCCTAGTGGCAGTCGAGCATTGTAGACGTTCTGTTTCATTTTCCTTTACCTATACTTGGGACGCTTTGTATAGGGGGATATGGGACAGGAAACGAGTAAGCCCGCTAGGGGCTGGCTCGCGTGTGATTTAGTTGAAGATAAAGAAGGTGAAGAACTGGTTAAAAATGTTGCAAAGATTGCTAAAGTGTGTAAAATTGCTGTGCCTTCATGTGGTAGATTACAGCCAGAAAGCTGGCGTAGATTACTGACAGAGAAGAAAGGCAAGCTTACAGATAATGATTTATTGCGTACTGCTGAAGCATGGTACAGAGTAGAAAGGCTATCCAGCAGGAGGGTTGGGTAGAGGAAGAGATAAATCATAAAGGGTTAAGAACTGTATGTATATCATAATAATTGTGTTACTGGGAAGTTATCCCAGCCAGTGCCCTGTCGGGGGTTCCAGGAGGTGACCACTTCCATCATCCTGTCAGTAATGACCGAAATGTAGCTGACCATGGTCACCATCCCACCCCAATCTTAAAACGCTGTGGGTTTTTTTTGTATTTTGTGTTAGCCATTACCCTGGTAGAGGGTGGGGGTTTAAATGAAATGTTGTGTTTTTGCTTTGTAATGTAATTGTCCTTCTGTCTTGTTACTGTACAGCGTTGACATGGTTAAATTCGTGCTGGCAGGCAGTCTCTCTCTTGTTCCACTCAAATCCCCCTCTGCTAAAACACCCCCCCCTCCCCTCGCTTCTGTGAGACGCGGGGGGGAGGGGGCGGAGGGGGGTGGTGACATGCTTGCGATTTAGGTCTGTCTCTTCGGTGTTCTGTAGAGTTATTCAGAAGCTACTGATAAGATTTTAGCAATGAAATTTTTGCTAGAAAATATTCTAATTGTGTATTTTGTTATCTCAATAGAAATTGATAGGATGGTTAGGGAGTGAATCTGATGCAGGAATAGAAGTTATTAAGTTAGTATATGTTTCTAGAGACAGCTTTGTGGGCTGTTAGATGTATAATATTCACAACTGTCTTATTTAATCCGTCAAGTCTGTCCACAGTTCAGATTTTCATTTTGCCGAACAGAATGTTACTTCCCATGAAACCCACGCCTCCAGAGAGACTTAGTATGCCCTAAAGGAAAATGGCCCCTAGAACAAAAGAAGGTTGTCCTTAAGTGCCTTCACTCTGCCCTTAGTGAGGTCATATCTGCCCATATATCGTGTCAGTTCTGGCCATCCATGGCTGACGAGATCTTCACGTGTTAAGTAACAATATGTATTAACTTTGTGTACAAAAAATTGATAACATGCTAAAAGAAATTTCTAATAAACAAAGTTTTCTTGAACAAATGGTAATACAATTAAAAATTGGTCTCAAGATGTTTTGATCTAATTGAAAAGAACCAGAAAACATTATGAGCCTAACTACTAACAAATGGATAAGGGGGGAGGGTGTTCCAATCTGTCTTTATTAGATAATGTTAACCACCAAGATTAAAGACTGACTAACATATTTTTTTAATGTAAGCCCAGATATTTTATTATTATATATGCATAGAAGTCGAGACTTTGGGCATTATAGTGTATTGATTCTAGATCTGTTACTAGCAGCAAGTGCTTAGCCTTATGCCTATCCCACGCATGCTTAAACACTCCTTTACTGTGTTAACCTCTATCACTTCAGCTGGAAGGCTATTCCATGCATCCACTACCCTCTCAGTAATGTAATACTTCCTGATAGTATTTTTATTTAAACCTTTGTCCCTCTATTTTTGAGACTATGTCCTCTTGTTATGGTAGTTTTCCTTCTTTTAAATATAGACTCCACTTTAACTGTGTTGATTCCCTTTGTGTATTTAAATGCTTTTATCATATTTCCCCTGTCTCGTCTTTCCACTAGGCTATACATGATAAGATCCTTTAACCTTTCCTGGTAAGTTTTATCCTACAATCCATGAACCAGTTTAGCAGCCCTTCTTTGAACTTTCTCTAAGGTATCCATGTCCTTCTAAGGATATGGTCTCCAGTACTGTATACAGTACTCCAAGTGAGGTCTCACCAGTGTTCTGTACAATGGCATGAGCACTTCCCTCTTCCTACTGCTAATACCTCTCCCTATACAACCAAGCATTCTGCTAGCTTTTCCTGCTGCTCTATTACATTGTACATTGTCATTAACAGCCAGAAACTGGAAACCAGAAAGGATAAATTAATGTATAGCTAAATGTAAAGCTTAACAAAACCTCCATTATCTTTTTCATTTATCTCGCAGAAAAACAATGTTATTTGTCTATTTTGTAAGTTTTAATACATTATCAGTGAAGAGTAAAATAAGTTTTATCCCTTTTGCGAGACATAAAATTGCGATAATGTATATTTGTGATGTAAGTAAGAGTTATATTTTATAATAGGTTGAAAAAAAAAAAAAAAAGAGAGAGAGTCAGGGATAGCGTCTGTCTCTACGAGCAAAAGTCTGGTGTGGGAGATGTAGTGGACTAGCCACTGCGGGATACCCACGGAGTGAAGCGTTCGAGGCCTGTACAGACAGATGTGCTTGTTAGCCTTTTATTATTTTTCTCTAGGGAAAGCATAGGGCCAGTTAACAGTTGTTGTACATGTGCTATTTGCAGCCTCCATTGCATTTCTACTTAATTCTGATTTCTGATGTATCCTCCACTGATACATAGCCACGCCTCCATATGGAGACCTGTCTGCTCCCTTACCTGCCCACCCCTGCCTACTCCTACTCCTCCTCCTACTCCACCTTCTCCTCCTTCTACTTCTCTCTCCTCCTCCTTCTCCTCCTCTTTCTCCTCTCCTCTACTCCACCTTCTCCTCCTCCTACTCCTCCCTCTACTTCACCTTCCACTCCTCCTATTCCTCCCTCCCACTCCACCTTCCCCTCCTCCTACTCCACCTTCTCCTCCTCCTACTCCTCCCTCCTCCTCTTATTCAATCCTACTCCTCCTATTCCTCCTTCTACTCCACCTTCTCCTCCCTCTACTCCACCTTCTCCTCCTCCTACTCCTCCCTCTACTTCACCTTCTACTCCACCTTCTCCTCCCTCTACTCCACCTTCTCCTCCTCCTACTCCTCCTCTGTAATGGTATTTACTAATTAATGACTTTACATCATAAAGAAAGCATATTTAGTGTAATGCTTTGGGGGCACCACTAGAGGGAGTGTGTAGGAAGACATGTGCTTCTGGCAGTTACATCACAGGCCAGCCTACTTACACTGAATAAAACCAGATGGAGGAGAAAACTCTGTCTCTTTGTCTCTTTGCCTGTACCTGAAAGATGTAGTAGCAGCTCTGACTTAACCCCAGCCAAAGGGCTGGGGCCTTGTAAGTAAAATGTTGTGTAACATGTAGCAACCTTTTGTAAGTATTATGTTGTAGTTTTGTATTGTATCATAATTGTAGTAAATTGACATTCTGCTAGCATCTGTTTATTTGTTATAGTTATATTAAATATACATTTAATATTACAACGTTTTGTGTATTTTCTATCCACATATTCGACCATAATACCATGAATTATAAAAATATTAATGTTGTTCCGTATTGCTTAATTATTATGTATTAAGAGATTAATATTCATATTTAGGTCACACCACAACATTTGGCGTAGTCGGCAGGATTATGCTTGAATATTGGGGAAAATATAAATGTTATGCATTTTGCTTAAATCATACTGTAAATTGTCTGTCTGTATACAAATGAATAAATTAATGATGATTTGGTTTTAATGGAATGAATGCAGATAGCAGATAGGGATTAGATATTTGTTTTTTAAGGTATCTCTTGTTGTAAGAACATAGTGATGAATTATTGTGCTGCTTGTTACGTTTTACCAACCTTTGGTCATTTTTATATATAAAACAAAAAACTATTTTACTTTTTGTCTGACCATGTGGATTTTAATCCACCATTGACCACATGGTGTGAATGAGTTGAGGCCTAGTTTCATTGTTTGCTACCATTTGCATAGGAAAAGACTTTTCACTAAACTAGTTCACCAGGTTTTATTGCTAAATTTGACCCTGTTTGTGTACTAATTTACATTTGTTTGGCATTCATGGATTTGTCTAGTAAATTATTAGTTAAGAAAAAGATACGTTTAGTAAAGCAGATTCAGTGAATAATAGATTTATGTGTGCGTATACACAGAATTTTAGTATAAATATATATATGATTTTGACTCATGAAGGAGAGACCACCTTTTTAACAGCTGTGTGACCATGCTTTTCAGCTACAGCTGGGGGAGAATTTGTCCTTGTTGGGGGTGGGTAGTCTTGCTGTATGAGAAAAAATAAACTGCATTGTTTTGTAAATGTAATTGCCTAAACTAATCAATTTGTGGAGTGTTTTTCAGCTTTATTATCCAGGACTAAGGAATTACTGGACATATGCAGGAACTGGTAACAAATGAACTGAAAAAATGGTAAAATAATTCCTTTGTCCTATTTAGTCTGAATATTTTAACAAGTTAGCATTTTTAACAAAGTAAGTGTAGGGGCTCAGATTAAGATTTATATTATTTTAGAAGCCATCTATAACTGATTTTAATATTTCCATGCTTTGAATTAGGGTGTATCTGCCTAGCGGGTGAACCTACATAACGTGGGCTGTGATTTTAGTTACAGTAGCGGGTGGGGAACCTAAGCTAGGGGGTATTTAAACGTGTCCGGATAAGGGGGAGCATACCCAATAGTTGTTGTGCAGTTCTATCCTGTATTATCATTTGAAACCCTGTATTATTTATAAGTAGCGTTTTGTAACTTATTTGTAATTGTTTATATATATATTGCTCTGGGAAAGGGATAGACAAAATCTCTGAGAGACCAGGAAATATATCTTAAAAAAAGGGCGTATTACACTAGTGGTAGGGTGGCCTATCATGACCATAGAGACCCTTGGTGACTAGTTTTTGTTGTATATTGCCCTGGGAAGGGGATACGCTATTTAATAGAAATTCCTGAGAGACCAGGAAATATACAATAAGTGATACGTGAATGTACTGGTTAAATTGCAGACATATTGGCCCAGAACCTTTAATCGAGCCGGAAAAGAGGCTGCTGTATGTTTGCTCCTCTATAATTTTGCGGGGGCGGTCACCCCCATGCGGAAAGCCACTGCCATCACAGGGTGGTTAGTTGTGCAGGCCCTTAGCCGCGAGGTGCAAGCATGTCCGTGGAAAGGCTAGAAATTAATAGGGAGTCACTCATAGCTGTCAGAAGTGTTGAACTTTGAGACATATTGACCTATATCCTTTCAGAGGCGGAAGAGGTGTTGTGGTTCACTCCTCTATAATTTAACCAAAGGGTGGAGAGTTATTAAAACTGTTTAGGTTGGCTAGAAATGTGTTTCCTGAATTGCAGAGAAGATGCAGAAAGCAGCTATTAGCTGATTGTTTATTTTAAGAGCCAAGTAGAAAATTAAGAAAGTTACCTTGTTGAACAAATTGTTTATAAAATGAAAAGTTTAGGGAATGTATTTATATGTGTATATATGTATATATGCTATGTAAAGGATTTGGCAGTATATGCTATAAGTGACAAGGAAAAGTAATCCTGATCTGTTTTCTTACCTTTTTCAGATATAGCAGAAACCAGGGGTGGACATTGGAACACAGATAGAATATCAGATGGAGACCAGTGTTTAAATGTTGACCTTTGATGAGCTATTGAATGTTTTATTTTATTGTCTATTTAACATGTCTATGCTATGATTTTGTGCATACTGTTCTCTTATTTCTAGTGATTGTATTGCAATTGAAACCCTTATGTATTATTATTGTTGTATGTATGCTTGCCTGGGAAAGGGGGGGATTGACCCATAGGGACCAGGGGGTATTTTTGTGTAAACCAAACTGGGGTGGGAGGGCTCTAACGAGGGAACCCCATTGTCCAGTAGGTGTTTGATTTGTGTCTGTGTAAAGTGCATGAGTGGTTGCAGTTCAAAAAACAAAAAAAAATAAGAGGGATAAGAGAAAGTAGGCATTTTGGGTTATCTATACATGTTTAAATGGAAGGGTGGTAAATAGGAATGTAATTGTTTTGGTTAATGTTTAGATTAAATTGGTTAAATACAGCAGTGATAACGAGTGTTTAGATTAAATTGGTAAATGCAGCAGTAATAACGATTGTTTGGGTTAAATTGGTAGATACAGCAGTGATATTGTGTTTATCTGTGAATCAGGAGTGTGCTGGATGTGAAGAGAGGTGTGTAGGTATTTATCCAAACGCCATAGGAAAAAAAATATGGTTAAGACACCACAATCAAATGGTACTTGTGATGATTGGCACAGTTATTATTTATGTTTGTGTTCGTCATTGCCTGTGTTTTCATTCAAGAACTTTCAAGCAAGGATATTTTAAGCAGAAGAAGAAGAAGCACTGGACACTATGCTCAACTGTTGCTGTAAGGAGAAAAAATATTGCAGCTAAGAGGGGTGAGAGTCGGAACAAAATGCATCAGGAGCAGGACACTGTTACGTCAAGGTGGTTAATGGAATAAAGAAAGAA